GAGGGACGCTCGGCCAGCTGCTGCTGCGCGAGGGCGGCGCGCTCGCGTGCGTGGCTGGCGAGGCGCGGGTGTGGGAGCTCGTGCGCCACGTCGCGCGCGGCCTCTCGCACATCCACGCGCACGGCGTGATCCACTGCGACATCAAGCCGGACAACATCCTGCTGTCGTCGGACGGCGTCTTCAAGATCGGGGACCTCGGCCAGGCGGCGGCGCTCAAGGCGTGGAACGAGCAGGAGGGGGACGCAAAGTACCTCTCGCGCGACCTGCTCGAGTCGAAGCCCTCCACCGCCGCGGACATCTTCTCCTTCGGCATGGTGCTGTACGAGGTGCGGACAGCAGAGAGCCTGCCTGGCTCGGGGCCGCGCTGGGACGAGCTGCGGTCGGGGTCGGTGCCGCCGCCGGCCGACTGCGGCGCCGAGATGGGGCGCCTGCTGCGGAGCATGATGAGCCCGCAGCCAGAGGCGCGCCCCTCCGCCGACGGCATCCTTGATTCGTGCTGTGCGGCTGCCGCCGCCGCCGCCGCAGACCGGTGCGTAGCGGCGGCGATGGGATAGGGCTCCGTTTGGAGCCACTCACACTGGCGGGAGGCGTCCGATCGAGCAGCGACAGGCGAGCCGTTGTGCCGCAGGAGTAAGGAGTGCAGTATGGCAGAGAGAGATGAGAGAGAGACCCGCGCGCGGCGGACCGGAACCGGGGGAGTGCTGCTGCTGCAAGAGAGAGCGAGCGTGACCCATATTTAACTGGCAGTGTCCTCCTCAACGGCAATAGCCACTTCATCTGTTGAGGGCAAATAGAAATACGCGGATAGAGAAATACCCATCGCTCTGCTCCGTACGTGAACAAAAAAAGCACCGCTTTGCGTAGAGACCTCGAGAGAAGGCCGCTCCTCCCCGGAGGCCCAAGTCAAGAATTGACTTCCGTTGGCGGGAATAAATAAATCAGACATCTCCTCCCGGGGCGTGACCCCTCTGCATATGATTTCTTTCCCCTCATCAACGCTACTCAACGCGGCCAAAGCAACGCGGCAACGAGAACACACCACTTGACGGTTGTATGTGCGCATTTCTGCTCCTCGTTCCGCTCTTCTCCGGCCTCGTGGCGAATGCACGAGTCAAAGACCAGCGCATCCCGGTGACTGTGCTTACCGGCTTCCTCGGCAGTGGTAAGACGACCCTGCTCAACCACCTCCTCACGAAACAGCACGGCAAGCGGCTCGCTGTGATCGAGAACGAGTTTGGAGAGGCGCGCGCACACGCCTGGTCGCTGAAGCCAGCGGGCGCCGAGCCCGCACGTGGTCACCGCGCTTGCCTCCCTCTCACCCAAGGTTGGTATCGACGACGCGCTGCTTGGGAAGAACGCCCGCGAGGAGGCTGAGCCTGAGATCATCGAGATGATGAACGGCTGCATCTGCTGCACCGTCCGGCAGGACCTCATTGTCGTGCTCAAGCGGATCTCGGAGAGGGTGAGCTCCGGCAAGCTCAACATCGACGCCGTCGTGATCGAGACGACGGTGTGCCTGTCTTGCAGCCGCCACGTCCTGTGCGAGCATTACGACCCCTCGGTGACTGCCACTGCAGGGGATGGCGGTTCCGGGCGCCGGTCGCCCAGACCTTCTT